AAATGGGCGGCAGGGGGACCACCGTCGGAGACTAAGCAGGTATTGCTTCTTCTATGAGACGCAACCATCCCCATGTTAGATGCAATGGATACAGTAAGGGGGCCGCAGGGTGCACCACAGGTGACATCCACCTGCTGACCTCCCTCCACCACACCCAGCTTGGAGGGTTGCGGTCGTGTCTTCTCCCCTCTTCGAGATTCCTCTTCCGCGTGGGGACTGCTGGCAGCTGGAGGTGAGGGCCGCTGCAGAGCCTGCTGTCCGTCCCTGGAAACCGTTGTGTTTGAGTGGACACGGACCCGGGCGCACCAGCACTGCCTCCTCTGCCTCGCCGCCATGCGCGGTGACACATTCCCTGCCTGGGAAGCCAGGCCCCAGTGGCCAGGCTGGCTCTCACTGAGTGTGCAGGCCAGAGTTTGGCTCACAGTAATACGGGAGTATTTATACGTGAAATCACTGAAACTTTCAGCAAGGTAATAATGTGGTTGCATTACTTCATCTTTGCCAGTTGCCTAGCGTTGCTCCCTCCCATTAACTTTGGAAGAAAAGGGTGAAAGGCAGTGAAGAAATGTCCTAGCCGTAGTTAGAATATGTGTTAATATCCAAAGCAGGAGTCCTGCCAATTTATCCTGCTTTTGTGTGCTTCAAAGAATATCCTTGATTTAGTATCAGATGGCTACTTTGTCCATAGTATTATTGTCAAGGTTTCTAATATGCTTATTCATCCTCTTATTGCTGGCCAAAACTACTCTTCCAAATCCTGAAAGCTAGATCTTTACTGCTCTTTCTCCTCTCTCTCTCTCTTTCTCACACACACACACACACACACACACACACACACACACACACAGCAATATGCTCATGTTAAGCTCTGAGACTTTACATTTCATGATAAATAAGAGTCCTCTCATTAAAGTGTTCTTCTGGAATCTTGTAATATCTGGAATCCCAGAAAAAATAAAGATATCTCTAAATATCCTGCTTGGAGAAGTATCTTGACTGAATTCTTTATGATATTTTGATAGTTTTAAGAAGCTCTAGCAGTTTCTTTTAACCTGAAAATACACATGCTCTTTGTAATACCATGTTCTTGTATGGAAGGGAAAAAAGGGAGGAAGAAAGGGAGGGAGAGAAGGAGGAAGGGAAGGAGTGAGGGAGAGAGGAAGGAAGGAAGGAAGGAAGGAAGGAAGGAAGGAAGGAAGGAAGGGAGGGAGGGAGGGAGGGAGGGAGGGAGGAAGGAAGGGAGGGAGGAAGGAAGGACTAGATGGACCACAGGGAGGGGAAAGGAGAGGAGGGGAGGAGAGGTGGGACGAGGGAGGAAACCACAATCTTGCTTTCTAATTAAAAAGCTAAGTGGAACAGTCTTTCTTAAAATTTGGTAATCATCTAGAATCTCTGTATCATTTTTCCTATGAAAAGCAAATGAATATAGAAATAGTTTCCTCTTTTGGTTTTCAACAAATGAGGGAACTGTGCTCATAGGTTATATTTAGTCCCCAGAAACTGAAGATACTAATGGCTGTGGTTTGCAGAGTGTGGGGATGTGCCAAGTGCTTTGCATTTCTTTCATGCATTCTCACATGAGCCCCATGAAGGGCGCAGCATAGAACAGCTAACCTCTGTGGAATGTGGACTCTGTTCTGAATGCTTTCACAAAATATCTCATTTTACTCTCATAGCCAGACTGTGCATTGTTATCATATAAGGAAACAGGTTCAGAGAACTGAAGAGATTTGCCTAAAGACAGGCAATTAATAAACAGCAGCATGGAGATCTAACCCAGCTCTGCCCGACTTCAGGGCCCAAGTGCTTCTTCCTTCAGGGTATGTTACCTTCTGAGGAGCAAGGGAATTCACTTTACTGTGGATGTATTTAGCTTCCCCAAAGGGGGCAGGTAATCACTTTGCAGTCAGTGAGTCCTATGGAGCCAGAAAGGAGGTATTTCTGAGAGCTTGTCAGTAGCAAGTTAATATCAGCATAGGCCCCAACCTGTGGCTCTCAAACCTCGGTGCTCGGTGCTTGTTAGAATCAGGAGACTTATTTAAAATATAAATTTCTGAGCACCACCTCTAGGTTCCTAGCCACTAACAGCTAACCACTAATTTATTTTTCAAATGGTCCATAAATTTACCATTCAACTTTTTAATAGATTCAAACAATGGCATTTCATAAGGGTCGATGAGGCAACTGGCAGTTGTCATCAGAAGCGTCCAGTCTGGTGTGATGCCCGAGGCCTTGTAGAAATGTTGCAGAAGGCCTGCGCTCCCTCCGAGACATTGTAGCACAAAACACAAAGCATAGCATGTAACCCGAAAACTGGGAACGTTAAATAAATACGCGTTACTGAGTTGCAGTGGGAATTAACCGTGCACTAAATACATTTCATGGCCTTTAATTTAAATGCCAAGTAAGCTTTTATGAAGCTAACCTCTGGTCACTGCCTTTATGAGGAGTAGGAGAGTGTTTTGTTTTCCCAAAGTGCTGATATGTTGGTGTCCGTGGGTTCCCTCTTATTGTTTTTATGTTAGTGTTTCACATCCACATGTGATATAACTTACCTGTCTTTTAATGTTTAGATCTATTCCCTTAACACAGTTATTGAGACCTTAACATTTTTACAGGGAATGGCTGAGACTCAGATTCACAGCCCTGCAATTGCTTCACTATTAGATTATTCTGTCCTCACATCCCCAGCTTGCACTGTCTCCACTTTGCCCATGCTAGTGCTCTGCTCACAGAAAATCTGGGAAAAATAAAAACAATAATGATGATAATGCTATTGGAACAGTATATAGTAAGAAGCAGCAAAGAATTAGTAACTAGGAAATGTTCCTCTACATTTTAAACTAATCAACATACAAAATCCATCATAACCGCATATGTAGATTTGCCTTCTGATAAACAGGTGGCCCCTGACCACGAGTAAGGCAGGCTTCTCTGGAAAAGATATTCATTCTATTTATGAATAGCATCTGTTCCAAGAATGCATAATATTATGGCTCCAGTGAATGCTATATGGGGAGGGGAAAAATTGGGGTGGATTTAATACTACAGCTGTGACTAGTTAGGTATGGTAACTTTCAGGTATTTAGTGGTTTCAGCAAAAGTTCTAATACACATTCCAGGCATCGAGAACCATAAGGAAGACTGTAAAAATATTTAGACAAAGAATTAATACACTCACTGCTCTGAGAGGACTAGAAAGTACATGCAGTGTCCCACTGGCTTCACTACTCTCAGGTCATCATCCCAGGGCGAAGGGACTGTGGGTTCCCACACAGGGACAGAGGTTGTGGTGATGGCACATGTGGAAACAGGGGGTCCCGCTGAGTCTTAATCCTTGCCATAGGTGTGACTGGGAAAAAGGGACTCAGTTGTCAGGGGAGGTGGGTGACAAAGGAAACTGCAGCAGTGGCCCAGGGGCTGACTAATCAACTAATTGTTCCAGCCAAACAACATTGGGTTTGGACTTCCATTGTTATTTTGTAACTACTGCTGATGAAAAGCTGCCTTTCACAAATGATTTATTTTCTTGTTTCATGTTTATGTTTCATGTTTATTAGTTGCCTTACTACAAACCACTAATAATTCTCCTTGGCCTCTCTCACATGGATTTTTGAATGCTATTTGCTTACAGAAAGTTTAATTTTTGTTGGATTAAACCAACCAAATAAATAGCACCCAGTCTGTCTGAAATACTTAGGAGGCTCATAAACAGAATCTGAGGACACTAATCTGAGTTTAAGACAAAACACTATAAAAGCAAAACTCAAAACAATTTTTAAAAATGGACCAAAAGTTCAAGAAAACCTGAACATTGTCTAAAGGGCCTGGCCATTTTGTTGTTGAGGGTTGTCAACCCTCAGCTGCCATTTTGACCCGACTCATGGGGTGAGCATCTGTAACTCAGGATTTGCACAGTGTGAGTTTAAATGCTCACTCCTCCCCCTCCCGCTTTTTTTTTCACTTTGGAGATGTTCAGCCATGCAGTCCAGCAGATAGTCATTTTATCTACCTGACCACAAATATGGTGCTACACTGTGGAAAACAGAGGGGACTGATTTGTTCCTGGATCTTAATTTATAAAGGTGATCAAATGACAACACAGAGGGGTCAATGCCATTGAAAGAAAAGTTGAAACTCCAGGTTTCCCCGGAAACAACAGGTGCAGAGTGCTGTTGGGACCACAGGGCAGGCACCAGTGTCCGGAGGCAGTTAGGAACAAGGAGAAGCCTGAACCTCAGCCTTTATGGGGTTTCTGTGGGAAAGGCAAAGCAAGGCTGGGAAAGCTGCTCAGGATTGGCTGGTCTGGATAACTGTGGTGGGCTTTGGGGCATAGGGGAGCTGCCTATGCAAAGCAGAGAGAATATTGGCTTAGTGTGCGATAGTTAGATAAGGAGGCGGCTCAGAGTATGGCGCTGGATGGCAGGGAGCTGTAAACAATCGTGGCCTTTAGTTTGTCCCTGCAGTTAATGGATGCCAAGTAGACAAATGCAGAACCTAACACAACACAGTTAGGACAGGGATGAATGGTCCCTTCTACCAGGAACTCAGAATCCATTACCCGAACTAATTCCGTGCCAGTAAAGCAGATCCAAGGTGCACCGTGATCAATGCTATGCTAGCAGCTAAAAAAATGCTGTGGGACCTTTATGGAGGCAAACAAGCAAGGACACGGAAAGTGAGTTTTTCACATGGAAGGTTCACATTCTCTTCAATGCTCAACTATGATCACTGCTTCAAACTCATGCAACCCTGCTAATAAATGCTACCCTTATATGCATGGAAGAACTTAAGTCAAGGCCCAGCCAAGTGTCTGATGTGTGAAAAATGTTGAACTGAAAGCAGTGCTCGCTTCTTCCTCCCAACCTACTGTCCCTTTTGTGTTGCTCTATCTTGTGTTATGACCGATGCCATGACACTCTGACATGCCATTCTCTCCTGAAAGGAATATTCTTTTTTTTTTTGCAGTTAGTGTTGGTAAGTAACTTGTTTCATAGGTGTTCACGGATTCTGTTTTTTTTTTAAATTAAAAGTCACACAGGGTTAAAAATATGCTCAAGTTAATTTGGGTTGATTCCTGATTAGCTGGTGTCGAGGGCATGGAGCAGGGCTGGTGTCCATACCTGGCACATCACTGTCTTCTTAAAGCCACATCTGCATCACCTTTGAACCACTGGGATCCCAGCCAGCCACTGTCATTCCCTAGAGGACAGAAAAACAGGGTTTTCCTTATGAATTTGGCAAAGATTTGTAGATTTGGGGCAGGGGGATGTTTGGAATGTTCTGTCAGCCACTAGTAAACAGCAACCCTTTGCTCGGGTGATTGGCGACGTGGCTCAGGAGAGAGGCAGAGAAGCTGGTTTCCATTAACGTGCAGCCTTACGCAGGAAAGAGCTGACAAAGAGATAGCAAATGATTACAGATCCATTCTCCTTAGAGTGAAGGCATATGACTGAAAAATGTTTGTTATTCTTTTCTTCACCCTTAGGGGTGTAAAGTTTTCTGTTTGGGAAGTGTCAAATCTTCCAGCAACAGTTAACAAACACCTCTTGCACTCGATTCCCGAGAGACATTGCTGTGCTATTCTTTATCATTACACACTGATGTCCACGGCTACTGTCTTTGTGTTTGTTTGTTTATTATGTACCAATCATTCTGTTAGCTCTTGACACAATATTTTTATTTCTTGAGCTGTATCCCTGCTTCTTATCTGGGCATGTACTTCAAGTTCAGATTTTAGGGTCTCAACAGTAGGAATTAGAAATTAAATTCTGATCGTGCCCATTGTTGATGAGGCCCAGGAACCCCTGCGGAGGGTCCTGAGGTAGGTGGTCCATGGAGCACACTTTGAAAAACAAACTTCATGCTTAAAAATAGTTATGCAGTCCGACCTCTGGATTAACATACAGCACGTTGATATCTACAAACATTTTATGAGCACCTGTTGAAATGCTCTCTCTGGTTTTCCTATATTCATTGTTTGACTTTCTAGAACAAGCCAACAAGAGGAATTTCAAAGTTTTATCAAGAACATTAATCTTTTCAAAATGGGAACTGGTAGTGTTTTTCAGGCTGAGAAAAACATCAAAGACAATCCACGTCAGCTAAAGGAAACCTTCTAGAAGGTCTTCACAGAAGGGCCCCGTGACAAGGAAGGCGGAGGGTCATCCTAAGGTCCTTGGAAAAATAGCAAGTTAAAGAAACAAGGGATTTTGTTTTTGTGGGGTTTTTTTTAAAGAAAGCCGTTAAGCATTCTTTTTCTGGTCTTTGCACATCTGCCCTGATGACTCAATAGTCCAAGTTCCTTCCTGAGTCTGAAATCCCTTCTCCAGGACTCAGAGAAAGGCGGGGACATGCGGGTACCGGGCTGCACCCTGGCACTCACTGCCACGCAGCACAGGATTTCTCACAGCATCACACAGAAAGTTGTCTTGAAGTACATTTTATGTCACCTAGGTAGTAGATATGTTTTCCTGTGTTTAAATCTCCCCAAATCAAGTAGGTGGGGAACGGGATTGATGCTGCATGGAAGTGGGTGGTGACTGGGGGAAGGAATGTGAATCCTCTAACGGTCAGGATAAAACTAACACATGTGCTTTCTGAGTTACGCAGACCTGACTTAGCCAGAAATGTCCTTTTATCTGAAAACATCATAAGAATATACATGTGTATATTTGCATATGTGGATATGTAAAAATGCTGAAGATTATATATTCATGTTTATACTATATATACATGGCTGGTTTCTCACATCCCATGCCCACCATTCCACGTCCAGGTACTGGTGATTTGTGTGGGACGAGGGCCCCATGAATTTCCTTACCAACTCTTATCTTCATGTGGGGAAATACCACACTGTCCTTTGCCTCTGTCTTCTCACATTATAATTCGGGCCATGGCCCATTCTTAATGATGTATCTTTTCAACCTTGCCCCTCTCCTCTCCCTAATTCTACTCCAAATCTTCAGAAAATCTCCCACCCTTCTCCTCGCTCCAGCACCACCACCTCGTTCTATCCTCATTTTTTTTTCATTCTGCCTTTTCATTGGGAATGGTCTGCATCACGACCATTGCATAATGCTTTTTGCATCTAATGCAAAAGCATTAGAGCAGGGCTAGTGATACATCAGTACTGAAAAAGAAAGAAGCCAAACGTTTTGAAATGAGGTCATCATGACAAGGAGCCAGTGTCAAGAAACCACATAAATCTGTAAAACTGTGAAGTTGTCTTTTGTAGAATCTGGTATTTCAATCTCATTACCTTCCTTACTGCCCATTCCGTTAAATCACAATTTCCTTATTTAATTTTATTTTTTAAAAATTTATTTCATTATCGTTCAAGTACAGTTTTCTGTCTTTTACTCCCATCCCAGCCCACCCCCCCAGTGCTTCCCACCCCCTCCCATTCCCCTCTGCCTTAGTTTTTGTCCATGTGTCCTTTATACTTGTTCCTGTGAATCCTTCCCCTTTTCCCCTGAAATTCCCTCCCCTCTCTCCCGCCCCCCCACCCGTCACTGTCAGTCTGTTCTCTATTTCAGTGTCTTTGGTTATATTTTGCTTGCTTGTTTGTTTTGTTTAGCTTTCTGTTAAAGGTGAGATCATATGGTATTTGTCTTTCACCGCCTGGCTTATTTCACTCAGCATAATGCTTTCCAGTTCCATCCATGCTGTTGCAAAGGGTAGTAGCTTATTAAGCTTTACTTCGGTTGTGTTAGCTTCATTTCTAGTATTGCTCCAATGTTGTTTTCTATGGCGTTTCAGTTATATTACAAAATTTCTGTGAGGGTGACCCAGAAAGCCAGCAATATAAAATTATTCTACAGGGAAAACATGTCCTAATCTCAGTTCACTGACTGATTAATGATCTTGCAGAAACGTTTGGCTCCATACACGTCTGCATCACACTGGGCAAATATAGATGCTCCATGATGACAAGAAGGTACTTCACTGAGGTGACAAATTGAGGGCAAATGGGAATTGTAGTCATTAAAACAATCTATCCCTGAATGATGCTTTTATGACAAGAAGTAACGTGACCACTGCTAATAACTGCAAACTCTCAGAAAAGCTGTAGCATTTTCTTTTCTTTCTTTTTCCTCACCCTAATCCTCCAGGCAGGAGATGAGACCCTTTGTCCCTGTCTAGGCACACCCCTTTAAGGAGCTTCCCACAAAGCCTTCCCTGGTGGCTCCAGCCTACAGAGCACTATGAGCACCAGCCTTAGTGGTAGCAGTCAACATTTCCTTCATTTTCACAACGTGCAAGTACTGTGCTGAGTGCTAAAAAAGTGTCATCTCATTTCATCTCATGGCTCTCCTATGAGGTCAGCATTGTTATTATCCCACTTTGCTTCAGAGGAAATTGAGCCTAACAAAAGTAAAGCTAGGAAATAGCAGAAGCCCCCAAGATTGGGACCCAAGTCATCTGCCTCCTGAGCACATGGCCATGCTGTCCACTGCCATCCTCAGATGCACTATAGATAGTTCACAGCATGACACTGGATTCTAGTTATTCCTCCTGCACCCACCCCAGCTCTAGTGTGTTTGGCTTTCTTGCCCTCTTAGGCTGCACATTCCTCCTGGTTAGGGTTCAGAACAATGGTCTTCATGCTAACTATGCTACATGCTAACTGTGCGCCTCCTGGAGCCCTGGTTTCCAGAGACACCCACCTCAAAGGACCGTGGTGAGGATTGAAAGAAAGTAATGCATATGAAGGGCTCAGATTGGGTGGCAGTGGAAACAACTTTAGATATTATTGGTGTTATGGCAGAAAACACAGCCCTAAATCCATGGTGTGGTTAAATGTTTTTCAAAAAAGTTTTTTCTGTATGGACTCCAGTCTACTTTGCCATTCACTTTTGCCCTCACGGACTTGACTTAGCCAACATCCTTCTCCCTCTCCCCAACTTGTCAGCAAAGTTGTACATTTTATGTCCATTTTCTGCCCTCCACAGTACAAGGATTTTTGCCCCTGAACAGACCTGGCAGCAGTCTAATCTCTGCTGCAAGAGAAACTTGGAGTGGTTGGCAGACTGTAAACCACTCCCCAGTGACCTCCTCCTACTCGGCTTTAGGTAAACCCTCCTTCTGGCTTCAGTTTCTCATCTGCCCCAGCGAACCTCTGAGGGTTCTTCCAGCCTGTAGCTAAGACTCTCAGATGTCTTTTTTAAAAGAAGTTATCCGAGCACTAACCGTTGTCATCATCACTGGTTTCTGCCCTTCATGCCTTCAGTGTGTGTTTCTGTGTGTAAAAGATGTTCATGTGTCTGTTTTATGTCTGTGTGTATGTGCATGTATATGTGCATGAATTTGTGTGACTGTATGAGTGTGTGTGTGCTTTTGTGTGTGGCTGTACATGAGTATTTTTGTGTTTTGTGTATGTATATCTGTGTGTGCGTGCGCATGTGTACATTCGCACAAGGTTGAAGCTGCCCGAATCCAAGTGTCAGGAAAAGGCAGGGAAAGGTAAGCCAGCTCACCTGTGGCTTCAGGATGACCCACCGAGACAAGGACAGGAGGAGGGCGTACTAGCTTCTACCCGGGTGCAGCCCTCCCACGGAGACAGCGGGAGCCTCCAGGGCAGGCGGGTGGGGCGGGGCAATGGGCGGGGCAACGGATGGGGCGGGGCGTGGGCGGGGCGTGGGCGGGGCGTGGCTGGCGGCTGCCGCGGCTCCGGGCATGCTCCGCTGTCGGGGCTGCGGGCGGGCTGGTGGCGCTGGTCCCCTGCCGGCCAGAGCGGCGGCGGCGGCGCGGGGCAGTATGAGGGAGCCGCTGGGTAAGTACTGGCGACTCTCCCGACTCCTGACTCCCACCGTGCGCTTGGCCCGTCCCCACGGCGCTTCGTGGGCCTCGACCCCAGCCTCCCGCGCGCGGCCCCCAACTTCTCCGCCCGGACCTTGCTTGGGTCCGAGCCGCTCCCAGCCAAGGGGAAGGTCTGCCTTCCGCCCGGACCCACCGCCCAGCGGCGCCCAGCCCCGCAGCCGCGAGGTGGAGGTGGACGGGGGGCTCCCGCTTCTCCGGGGGGAAGAGTCCCCGCCCCTCAGGTGCTCAGCGCTGGGCGCGGGGCTCCCCCGTGTCCCCGAAGGCCGCGGCTGGCATTAGGATTCTCGTCGCCCCTCAGCGCGGGTCTCTGGAGGACGGGGGTCGCTGTTTCCCCTTCGGCGCCTTTCCGGCCACAGCCGTAGCCCAGCCACTCCCTTCCTCCCCGGTGCGCCCCGAGTTGGCGGACATCCCCGCCCCGGGAACTGCCCGCCGCTCCTCGGATTGCCGAGGTCCCGGGTTCCCACGCCGCCCACTGCCTCCGGACCTGCCGGCCGGACGTTGGGAGCTGGCAGCCGCCGCGTCCCCGCTCCAGTCCCCGCCCGGCCTGGCGACCCCGCCCCTCGGGTCGGGACTGGGGATTAGGGCGCTAATCGCCGTCGCTCCCATCCACCCCCAGGGTGGCCCCAACTGCTGGTGGTCAAGCAAAAAAGAAACGAAAAAAAAAAAAAGAGAGTTGGGGTGGGGTGGAGTGGGAGAAAGGAAAGAGCACCGCCCGAGAGTGCTGTAAATCTCGTCAACCCGCTGGTTTATGGAATCTGGAGCCGCCCGCCGCCCACCCGGGCACCGCGACACCCTCAGCTCCCCACCCCAGATCACTGTCAATTCACCCAGAATGTCGGGGTTTCCCTAGATGCCTGGGCTGCGGGGAGACTCGGCACCTACAGCTGAAAGCGCCTCTCCTGCACCTTGTTACTGGCAATAGCAGCCGGGCGCCTCAGATTCTTCTGAGGGTTTGAAAAAGAAGCTGTGATTCCACTACTGAAGAAAAAAAAAAAGCCGAACTTGTGCCTGCGCAACCTGGACAGGTCCTAGTCCTGCTCTTCAACGTTCTCTAGGACCTGGGGACTTTGGGGAATGAGCTTAGTAGACAGATCGCCACCCCAATTCCCCACCACACACACACCCTGCCACCCACTCTCCCACCCTTTGCATCTTCTCCCCTACTAACCCCCAATCTCCTCATTTCCCTCCCTAGTCTTGGGGATGAGGGTGAACTAGTGTGGACCACACAAGTCAGACGTTTTTCCAATAGCTTCATCTCTTTCTTTCTCTGGCTTTTTGTCTTTTCAGATTTGCAGATATCCCAGTGATATAAGGTGAGGGTTGGAACATGGGAGGGGATTCTTGGGAGGGGAGTGGAGTGGGAAATGGCATTCGGGTAGCCAGAAATTTTCTTGACAAATGGCAGTCTCAATAGTCTAAACTCAGTGGGCTATGCAGGTAAAACTTCAGGAAAATGATGCCTTATGTCAGGTAGTGTTTGAATTTAAGATAACCAGATTAAAACCATCCAACAACAGAAGCAGGTGTAAATTTTTTTTTTAAGCAACTCATACTCAGATTCTATTTCATGGGACTCGTGCTGGCTTTCATGTGACATTGGGAATTTGGTAAATCATTGGCTTTTCTGTGATGTTCTGTGCACTTGGACTATTTACCTTGATGTGAGGTGTCTAATTCTTAGACACCAGCTGAACAAGCTTCCTTAAGAACGATAAATGTTACTCCTGGCAGGCAGCATGAAGCAAACTTTCACTCCCCTTGGAGTGGGTGAGCAAATATTTGTTGAACAGAGGCCTTAATTTGCTGGGTCTTTCTCCCGCCAACCTTCACCCTCTGTGCAGAAACTGGAGGGTCAGGACATTGGCAGGCCCATGAGGAGGGTGGGTGGATGGGTGGAGGAAACCTATGTCAGAAAAAAAAAAGAGGATTATCTCTTTCTGCCTCCTTGGAACATAACTTAAAATGCCTGAGTGTCCACATGATTCGCTTGACAAGTTCATCAGAGTTATCTAATAACCAGTCGGAGTTGTCACAGATTCCAGGGCGGATGGTGTATTGTTCAGTAGCTATGAAATGGAACTGGACCTGGGTGGTACCACAAAGAGAATAAATAAGGACCCATTTTCAGTTAAAAAATAGCAAATATGAAAAGACCCTTGGAGTCTGATTTTTAAAATGCAATTTAAAAATAAATATGAGGAATACTGTCTGTAAAGAAAGCTCAGCAGTCTGTGGTTCTGCCAAGTTCTTGTCCTTGCTGGAGAGCCCTCGAGTTCGAGAGGACAGCAGACACCAACCGAGCTGTAGGAGCCCAGAAGTTTCTCTTAATGAGCTTGGTGGGACTCCACAGCAATTAATCTGGAGAGAGTTTAGAATAGTTTAGAAACAATTGTAGGATTGAAACAATTGTTCTGTTGTGGTTTTTATTTTGATAAGCAAGGGCTGTATCTCTGAAATCCTCCAGGCCTGTTGCTGAACCCATTCCTTCAGTCTGTTTGCTTTTTTTAACAGTTGTTTTTTTACCTTTTGAATGGCGAGGGTTATATCACTCATTAAAACTTTGCTATTGTGCTTTGTTTCAAGGGCCTGCTGACTTAAGGAACACTCCGTGCGGGACACTCACTGGCCAAGGCCCAGCAGCCCAGGGAAGGCTAGATCAGTTAGTCTCCAGTGCTTTAAACACTAAATGACATTTAAAAAATACAGGAACTGCCCCAATGCTAAAACCTCAATTATCTTAGTTTAAATTTGTGGTACCTTATTTAAAATTTGGATTCCTTTAAATATATGTTCCAAAAATTTTCTGTAGATTATATAGTTGGAAACAGCCTGGCCCATACTGGCAACTGATCAGACTGCTAAATATCCTTATATTTGCTGCTTATTGGTTTTCTCTCGATATTTCATGTATTAGGCTTATTTCTTCTCTATGTAAATGAAAGAATGTAGATACTATTATGAATAGATACCAAGATATACTTCACAGAGGAGAAGAAAGAGAGAGAGTGCCACTGTATGTATAGGAAGAAGAGTTGGAGAAGTAGAAACCAGTTATTGCTGGTTATCTTTTGGCACAGTGGGTTCATTGGGAACTTTTACTTTGCTTAAACAGAAAATTATGTAGCGTTTACTTCTAGAATAACTTTAAGTGACCTTTGTAATTAGAAAATAAGCAGCCCCAGCTGGGTAGCGCAATTGGTTTGAGTGTTGTCTGGCACACAGAAAGGTTGTGGGTTTGATCCCCGGCAGGGCACATACCTAGACTGCAGTTTTGATCCCCAGTTGTGGGCGTGTGTGGGAGGGAACTGATCGATGTTTCTCTCTCTCTCTCTCACTCAAATCAATAAACATATCCTCTGTGAGGATTAAAAAATAAGCAAAAAGTGTAAGAATTATATGAAATCACTTCAACTTTAACATTTCTGTAAAACCTTGGCTCTTTTATCCTAAAGATATTTGAAAACAAAACTAATGTGTTATAAGTGTAATAGACTATTTTAGGAATCTTGCTATGTGGTTTTTGACATATTTGATGATAGGGCAATTAAATTATAACCTATTATAAGTTTTGCAGTTATTTTTTTAAAAAGCCAAACATTTTAGAAAATTAAAAAAACCTTATCTAATTTCATTTCTTAATGACTACTAATTTTTCAGAAATGTTAGTGAGGTACTTGGGGGTCTCAAGAAAATGAATTGAAGTCCCCAAGGTATAATTGTGTGACGGAATCTGAAGGTGGAAAAGAAGACAGGAGTGAGTGTGTGTGTATTCACACAAGTTGTGGGGGGTGACAAAAAAGAGAAGTTAGAGGAGATAATATTTGTGAAAAAAATGAAGTGAACGTTATTTTCTAATAATATTCTTCCCTTTATTTTTGGATCAATGCCTTAACAGTGACCCAACCCAGCCAGACTGGGTTCAGGATCCCTTTTGATCTTAGACCCAAGTGTTTTTTTTCTCTCTCTCTGGTTTTTGGGGTTTTTTTTTGGTCACCTTACTGAAACAACTCAGTGGTGGCTGCCTTACTAAAATGATTACTTCACAGATTAAATATGCTTTGTATGTCTTAGGAGATTTTTAACAACGTGAGGGCCCTGGCAGAGCTGGCCATCACGCTGTGTGGTTAACGACACTGTGAGAACTTACTGTCCCAGGACTTAAACTGCAACTGTTGAGCCCTCTATTTACTAGGACTGAAAAGGGGAATGTCAATGCTGTTGCTCATAATAAAACACATAGTTCTACATTAAAAAAAGCAAAGCTATAGGAAGCCTTAAAAAATCCACATTATCATACGCAGCATGCTCCATTCTGGTTTGTTTTATGTCTGACTATTTACCTCTTGTTTAAAGAAAGCACTTTGTTATATATTAATCATAACATTAGACCAAAAAGTTGTCAGTTGAAGAAATATTTACAGTGAACTGCCAACAATTTGGGGGACTAATTACATCTTAAGTATGGAATGTTGATGAATAGAGCTAAGTTTTGGGTTCTGCAGAGGAGTAACAATGTCTAATCAAGAGCTTTAGAGTGCTGTTTGTAATCTTGTATTAGATTTTATCAGCGAAACATGTAATTTTAGGCTCACTGGAAACAGGTTAAGAATCTCTGTGGCAGCATGCACCGCACACTAGACTCTTAGGACTTCATGTGATTTGCCATTTATCCTTTCTTGTTTTACTCTCATTGAGTCTTCCCCATATGTGATACGTTTTCAGAGATAACGTTTTCTGAGCCCTACCTATGCA